CACGTTCTGTGGTTCTGCTGCAGTTCCTCAAAGCAGGGAGTCTTTTTCAAGTGAAGACATCGAGGCATTTGTCTGAGAAGGGTCAAAGAGTCATCTTGGAATTGTATTTACAAGAAATGGCAAAAAGTGCTTTATCTCATTAAGGCGTTTGGTTTGTCCTCTGTGCTTTGTAGATTTAGTTTTTGTTAGTGCTAATCTTTATTGATGTGCTTCTCATCCTCAGGTGTGCTTGGCATCAAGGTCAAGATCATGCTGCCCTGGGACCCCAGCGGTAAGATCGGCCCCAAGAAGCCCCTGCCCGACCACGTCAGCATTGTGGAGCCCAAGGATGAGCACCTGCCCACCACACCCATGTCAGAGCAGAAGGGAGCCAAGCCAGAGGTGCCTGCCATGCCCCAGGGAACACCTGTACCCACTGCATGAGAGGGTAAGCACATACCTGAGCCTTTTATCCAAGCACGGTTTGTTCAGTTAACATACTGCAGGCTTCAGAGGATGGGAGAATAATTGGGTGTCCACTTATTTTGAAGATATACTAGCAATAAAGACAAGAATGATCCTCAGTTCTTGACCCTTCAGTGATGAGACGATGACGAGTCGGAGCAGGACTTCATCTGTTCTGGTGGTTACTGCTTCAGAGTCACGTTCTGTGGTTCTGCTGCAGTTCCTCAGAGCAGGGGGTCTTTTTCAAGTGAAGACATCGAGGCATTTGTCTGAGAAGGCGCACACAAACCCGGTTGAAATTATTTAGGAAAAGTGAATCTAGTGCCTCCTAAATAATGGCCTTAAAATAACCTACTGACCAGAGCAAGGTGGATCCATGTTTAAAAAGAAACTAAAATTATAAATTAAGCTCAACAAAATCGGTTTTTACCATGAAAAGCTGAACCTGTTCACATAGAGTTGTACTTTTGGGCCCAATCATCAGAGGGCTTGACTTTTCATTGTACAGTCATGCAGAAATGAATGCACCATTATTCATGTATTCATTATGCATCATCTTATCTTTTTCAGGTTTTGGAGTGTTCTACAAGATGGAAGCAAGATCTGTTTTTTGTGTACCAAAACAATAAAATATGGAAAATACACTTATAGTTTTGTCACTTTTACTACACACACATTGGTGAATTGCATCTAAAGTTGTCTGGTTCCTCAAATGTTTTTAATGCTAGGTTAAGCTCCTTTTGAACCACTTTGGAAAAACATTTTTACTGTTTTCAAAATGCATTCAATCTGTGCAGTAGACCCCGGAGAGAAGCATTGTCATGATCAAAGACATTTCAAAATGTCTACATGATCAGATCATGCAACCCAATATAACAAGTTACCCATTGCAGGTCTCCCTTGAAAAAGAGATCTATGATCTCATTGGACCAGTCTCGTTAAATAAAGGTTTGAAATGAAAAACATTGTCGAAGGGGGCATGACATACTGTAGTGCTGGAACCCCTCTGTCCTTTAGACGTTTGCAGCGCACAAGGACAATTATTATTCATACATTTCCATGTATCTTATCCGGTTGGAATTCTCAGGAATGGCTTGAAATGTGCCACAATGTCAGCTTAGCTTCAAGCTTAGTTACTGCTTAGATTTTCGTAGGCCATAGTTCTGTTCTGTCCCTAAATCGAGAATCAAAATGACCATTTTCACAAATGTCTATAAAGATCAAATGAAGTATTGCCTCTTGGGTAATAAGGCATACAACCAGCGAAAGCAATCATTCTAGTGAATATTTTAAGTACAGCATCTGTATGTTTATAACAACAGTTAAGAGCGTCCATACATGTGAAACCATGATGTACAACAGGGCTATTCAATTGGCGGCCCGCGGGCCAAATCCGGCCCCCGGGTGATATTTACTGGCCCTTTGAGTATAATGTTAAAAAATAAAAAATAAAAGTTTAATTAAAACATTTTTTTTATTTAACTTTTTTTTTTTTTGCCAGAGTGCCTTTATTCCTGAGAGGGTGTTACATTGAGAGATAGAGGGGAAGACATTGCCTGAAAACTTTGGCGGGCTCGGGTTTCGAACCCACTTACTAGCAACTCCTGTCATTTATTGCGTCTCTGCGCGCGTCCTCGCGGCTCGCGCTGCCCTTCACTACAAGCTCGCGCACCTTCGACGGTTTCGCGCCAATGGTACGATTGATCAAACCTGGTCAGCATAGTTGGATATCAAAATGTCTCTTTCTACGTTAAAAAAACGAAAGGTTGACACCGAAAACCGGCAATTCAACAGCGAGTGGAAAGAGAAGTAGGCTACTTGTGTGTAAATGTCAGTGGGAGGCCCGTGTGTTTAATCTGCAATGAGTGTTTATCGGTGTGTAAAGAGTACAACTTGAGAAGGCATTTTAAGACAGCTCACGCCAACTTTGACGCCAATTTTCCAGCGGGCTCTGATGCTCGCCACCAGAAGATTTTGGGGCTAACTTCGTGCTATGACCAAAGACGTAGCTCCCTGTTTCGGGCTTGCACTGACCAAGAGAGAGCTACCGCAGCGTCCCTACGAGTGGCCTGGATATTAGGCAAAAAGAAAAGGCCTTTTACGGACGCAGAAACAGTCAAAGAGTGTATGCTTGCATCAATTGAGGAAGTGGTTGAAGATGAGAAAATCAGAAAAAGCGTTATTGACTCAATTAAGAACATTCCGATTTCTGACACGTCAACATCAAGGAGAGTGGAGACCCTTGCATCGGACGTTTTTGAGATTCTCTTGGACAAACTGAGAAAGGCGGAGGTTATGTCGCTAGCTATTGATGAATCCACTTACAGCAGCGATGTTGCACAGCTGTGCCTCTGTTAGATTTTTTGATGGTGAGTGCTTTCGGG